AAGGAAATAAGGAGATATTCGTAGATGCGACCTATAAAACAAATGCATTGGGCTATGAACTTTACTCTGTAATTAGTCAGTATGATGGTTCAGGCTTTGCATTGGCATATTTGTTTGTTGAAGGATGTAAGCAAGATGGAGCATGAACAGAAATTATAGCTGAATTTTTTAAAATACTACTTGACTTGGGAATGAACAAACTTGTATATTTATACATCGACAAAGACTTTGCACAAATTTCAGCAGCCAAGCAAATGTGGTCAAATATCAAAATACAGTTATGTTACTGGCATTTTAAGAGAGCACTCAAAAAATGATTAGCAGATAATTCTCAACCCAAAAAAATAACCTATAGTTCTCATGATGCAAATAATTCATTTAACTTTATTGATATTAATTTTTATCCTGTTGAATTACAAAAAAGCAATTTTTGCTTTTATCCAAAAAATCTGCGGCCTCAAGTTATTTCGCTTATGGAGTATTATATGCACTTGCATCCTCTTATTCCTAATTTGGAAGGGATCTTTAGTACAAAAGATGAAATCTGGAAACAATACACAAAAGAAATGTATGATTTCTGTGTTACCAATGATCTTAGATATCTTTGATCCTACCTGTGGATTAACTGGTATCATAATGAACTTTGGCAGCTTTGGGCCCGTTCTGCAGTACAAGATAAAATTTGTATTTTTCGCACTACCATGCTTGTTGAATCTCACTGGAAAGTGATAAAGCGTAACTTCTTACATAAATTTTTCAGACCAAGACTTGATCTTGTAACTTATATTATGGCTTCACGGCTTATTCCACACCAACAACAACAATATCATAAATATGTTTATAAACGTGAAAGACCTTCATGGCGTAAAGACTTCAAAAAGGAATAGAAATCATTAACAAAAAAGGATATCAATAATACTTATATAACTGATGTCAAACAATGGTTCTGTAATTGTAAAGAATTTTTAATGAGCCGATTTTTTTTATGCAAGCACTTAGTTCGATCATCCTTATTTACTATAAACCCAGCATTTTTTCTTAATGTACAGTGACAAGATATCTATCCATTTATCTATTTGCCAGGTCAACAAATTACTGCTCAACTATCAAATAATACATCGAATAATTCATTTTCGGGTAAGTATATTTAAACTTTATTTAATAAATTTATAATATGATTAATTAATTAAATATTTACTTTAAATTAGATGTATTGAAAGATATTACTATCAATATGAATAATGATTTAACATTAACATCAAATGATATATTGAATAATACATCGAATAATTCATTTTCGGATAAGTAAATCTAAACTTTATTTAATAAATTTATAATTTATACAATTAAATAATTAAATATTTACTTTAAATTAGATGTATTGAAAGATATTATTACCAATACGAATAATGATTCTGATCAACTTTTCAAGAATTATGAATTAATGTTACAAGACGCACTATCTATTGTACAAGAACAACACAAAATTAATAATGTTAAGTGGGCGAAAGCTGTTGAAAAAAGCTTCGAGGGAATTAATAAGTTAGTAACAGATATTAAGGCATATAAAAGAAGAATCAAAAATCCAAAAACATGGAAAGATAATAACAAGCATACGATGTATTTGCAATTTTAAAGGTTATTAAAGATTTTATTTTATATTTTTTTCTTAATTGTGCATTGCCAAATATTAATTTTATCAATTAAATTAATAGTTATCATGATGTTAATTATAAATAAAACTTTCAAAAGGTGCTGATAAAAATTCTGGTATAATTTGATTAAAAAATATGTTTATTAAATTTCAAATTTAACTTTTATTTTAGGATTGTATTATGGACCAAATGGCTACTTAATAAAACCATTATTTTTTAAAATCTAATCATTATTCTTTGCTGTTAATTAATATAAGCAAAAAAAAAACTATTATAAATTTTAAATGAACTTTTTTTTTTGCTTAATATTATTAATTTTCAAACGCTGATTCTTACTAAATTCATAATTGAAATTCTAATGTTTTGTTAAGCAATCATAATGATTTCTTTTATATTATTACATTTCTAACATAATGTAATCGAATTTGATTTATTGAAAAATAAAATATTGAAAATAAATTTGTTTATTGCATTATGAATTAAATAATATCGGGATTATTTAATAAAAAATTTAAAGTATATACTTGAATGTTGAATATAACCGTGACTTATCTTTAAATAAATAGAATTTGATAATTTTTTTTTATTTTAATTTTACAATATAGTAGAACTAAAATAAAAAAATTTAGCAATAGTTATTAAGAAGGTGTAGCTTGAAGTTTAAAATACGATTACGGTCGTTTTTCAAGTCATTCAATATTTTTTTAAAAATTTATGCGAATGTTCCTCAATAACTACCAGACTAACCTCAATAAATTTTTTTTATTTTCATTCTACTGTACATGTTTATAGGATTAAAATAAAAAATTTTTTATCGAATTTGACCCAGTAGTTATCGAGTAACCATCGCTAGAAGTTTTTAAAAAAATCAAAATTTAAAAAAGGATCTTTGCATAGTACAGCCAATCAAAACATATGTACATATATGATGTCACGTGACTGCGCAGAAAATTTGGAGGTGCTGTTGGTGTAGTTCATTTTGGTGGCGATACTGGGGAAGATGTGTCCGTAAGAAAATATCACGTGTCCGGTACGTGTCCGTAGACTTTCCGGTCGGTATAATCCCCCCTAAATTTGGGAGGAGATCACATGTTAAGCCACTTTTCATTAACATTATTCAATTTTGGGTTAGAGTTAGAGGTGTTTATATAAGCAAAATTACTTTCAGACATTTTTATTATTGCACTAAGATGGGTTTAGACTACCATTTTTGATGTTGTTCACTGTTTTCATTTTTTTCACTTATTTTATTTCGTCAGGCTGATCCATCCGGGTTTATCAAATTTGATTGGCTGATTGTTACGTAATCTGCCTGATTAATAGTATGAATAGTTAGAAACTATTTTCACAGGTCTGTTTCACTTTAAAAACTAGTCTAGAACTAGTTTATATATAAAATATAAAAGTGTTATAACTCAAGAGTAGTTCTCTGAATGGATCGGGCCAATCCGAAATCCGACCCGAATTTTCAGGTCAGGTCGGGTTCGGGTTAGAAAAATCTGACCCGAAAATCTCGGGGGTACGGGTCAGGTTTGAGTTGAACCTTAACCCGATCCTAAATTGTCCAAATTAGAGATGCTCAAAATAAGCATTTTATATATTTTTAAGCTTATCAAAGATTTAAAT